AACTTTTGCACAGCGTTGCTGCGTGCTGTTAAACAGCTGCTTTGTCCCACCACAGAGATGGCTGCATTTCAGTCATGGGCTATTTTACATCTTAGGAAAGTTGCCACGCTTAGCTAGATATTTGTAAAACCTCCTTAGATGGAAGGGCAAAGGCTTGTTACAGCAGTCAGGAGTCAGGGCCCCATTGTGCTAGCAGCTCTGCAGACCAAAAAAAAAGACAGCTCCTACCCATTAGAGTACAGATTGCATGTTAGACAGGATGCGACAGATAGATGCAACAGACCCATTGGGTGGGAGGGTGAGAGAACTACAAAGCAGAGAGTTTTGTAGATGACGGAGAGCAGCAAGATTGAAGGGAATAGTGGAGTTTCCAATGAATTAAGCCTGTTTATAGAATGACTGGATTTCCTTTAAAGTCTCCTACTTTTTTTTTTAAATTTCTTGTCTCCAAATCACCTTGATCTAGAATTCCCAAGAGGTCTGTGTTAGGTCTCACCAACACTGACACCATTCGGTATCAGAGAAGTGTGGGAGAGGGCTTAGTCCAATAATCCTAGCCTTGTAAATTGTGAACCCTCTGAGACCTCTCATCAGAGACTGGTTGAATTCTTTGCATTTGCTAGGAAACATGCTAGCCTCCGTGGATAGAGTTCTCTGGCCTAGATTAAGCTATAGAGGCAAGATGGCTCAGTGGCTTCTGCTAATGCACCTTATGAGAATGTGGCAGTTGATTTATTTTTTTAATGCCGGAAACCCAGTACATTTTATCTTAAGACAAATGTCAAAAAATCTAGCAGAATAGTGGATTCCTTGTTTGTTCAGTTGTCTTAGCCATTCACCTGTACCTAACTACCATAGGTCTTCTAGTTCTTCATGTAGCTATTCACCTACCTGTGGAACTCCCTGCCTCAGTATGTTGGGAAGTCAAATACTATTGGAATTTAAGGCCAGTATAACTCGAGCCCAATGAACCCTGTGCTTCCCCTACACAGCAGCATATGCCATGCTGGCTGCATCTATTGCTTTTGCCACCCCCTGCAGCATCAGGTACTGATTGTTTCTAGGAATAGGACACCAAATGGACCAGTGTTTGGCTGGGCAATGCGAATGCTCCCGTGGACTGTCTGGCATCTAATTAGCTGAGCTACGTAATAAGGGCCTGATCCTGAAATGAGCCAAGTGCGCACGACTCCCACTCACTTCAGTGTCAACTTGCAGGATCGGCCCAGTGAGGCTGCAGCCGGTTGGCGATCGTCCCCTGAGCCACTATTATTGCGCTCTGTAGCTTGTGGACCCTCCCAAGGAGATGGCAGTGATGTGCAAAGGCTTCTGGGAGGCTTTAGCGAGCAATTGCTTCTGAGGGAATCTTTCTCCCCCACAGTCAGCCAATGAGCCTGCCCTGGGCAGCTGCAGGAAGTCCTGGGAGCCAATGGGTCTAGAGCAGGGGTGGGCAATACCTTTCATAGGGGGGCCACTTACTGTGTTTTGGTGCGTTGTCACGGGCCAGATCCACCCTGGAAGGGGTGGGGCCTGGGGCAAAGGGGTGGGGCCTGAGGTGGAAGGGGCGGAGCTGGGGACTAGCCTCCCCCAGATTTGTCTGGGGCCAGAGGCTTTGAATTGAAAACACAGCAAAGGGCTCACAGCTCCCTTCCCTGCTGCTGCCACCTTGCCTGGCATCTGCCTAGGGTTGCTGCGACTATTTAAAGGGCTCGCAGCTCCAGCCCGTGCGGGGGTAGCACCGTGACTGGGAGCTGGGAGCCATTTAAATAGGATCCTGCTGTTTGCGTCACCACCTGGAAATTCGATGGCAGGGGCAGCAGGATATAAATAGGAAGCGGCCAGATGCAGTCTGTGGGCCAGATCAAAGTGTTTGGTGGTCCGGCTCCAGCCCCCGGGCTGCATCTTGCCCAGCCCTGGTCTAGAGGGAGCCGGAGGGAGGGTCACCGTGATGCATGGAGGAGTGAAAATGGAGCAAAGCTGTCTAGTGTTTGTGGGCTTGTCTCAGACACAGCCTGATCTGAGAGCTCTGGGGCACCCAGGTTGGAGCGGGCCAGTGTCCTGATGCTTATCAGACACGCGCCCAAAAGTGTCAACCCCTGCAGAAGATTCTCCTCCAAACCCCGTGGGGCCTCTGACCTGCCAGGGAGAAGGCTGGAACTGGGATGGGGGGGTCCCTCTTTGCTCCACCCCCCTGTCTGGCCACGGGGACAGAAGACCCGTCTGCTACCTCAGTGGGCGGATCAGGCCTCTCCCCAGCAATACTGTAAGAAACAGACCTGGCCTGGCATGACACCCTCCAGCCAGTGCGGTGTTTAAGGGCCTCCCTCCCACTGAAATCAATGAGTGTCAAGTGCCTACCTACCTCTGCGGGGCTGGGCCTTGTGGCAGGGACCGAGCTCCAGTGCCCTTCGTTGTTGTTTTAATGAGAGTCCGTTAGCCACAGTAATTCCCACGCTGCTGCTCATGGAGGCGCCTCAAAGGAACTCAGCTTCCACCAGTCACCAGACCGTCCCAGCCATCCCTCCAGCCTGGCAAAGGGCCCCTCTTTGCCTTCTGGCATGGCCAGCGTGCTGACTTGGGGCTCCCTCGGCAGAGAGCTGGGCCTCTCAGCCTGGCGGCCGAGGGCAGGTGTGGTGCTCCCAGCTCCTCTGATTCCACTGGCTGCCAGCTGAGTGCACCCATCTGCTCCGTGGGGCCACCCACAGCACTTCCTCCAGACCCGCTCTCTTCCAGCACTAACTCCTCCGCCCTCTTCCCACCCCAGTATTTCTCTTGTCCTGTCAGCAACCTACACTGGGACCTCTTCTGACTGCCTGTCTTAGCACCTAGCAGTGGGGCCGTCTCTGATCTTTCTGTGCCTCAGTTTCCCCTTGCCATACAATAGGGGTGTCTCGACACCCACCCACCAGAGGCGGGTGCTGCGGGGCTTGTACAGGGCTTTGAGACCCCACTATTGCAAGGCCGTTGCTACAGAGTAGCACATTCCCATCTTCCTGGGGTCATTCTCAGGATACCTGCTCCAGCCTCTCCTGTTTTGCTTCCATAGATGCAGTGGGTGGAAGGGTGTTTCTCTCTCTGCTCCAAAGGGGTTCGTGCATTGTCACCCTGACAAAGGCAGTCCTGTTTCTCCTAGAAACTGCTTCTCTTCAGCAGCTCCTCTGCAGATTTCCTTCCCACGAGGCACGAGGCAGCCCAGCAGCAGCAGGTGGCTGGAAAAGGGGCTGGAGGGATGCACTGGCAGAAGTGTGATCGGGGTGCACTGAGAAGGGATGGGGAAGCTGTAGCTGCACCTGGATGCTCCCAACCATTCAAGAGGCTGAAATGGGAGCTGGAGGGCTGGCATCTGGGGAAGGTACTTCTGTGGCCCCAACACTGTAGTGTCGGGAGGGGAGAGGGGAAGTACTGTTATCCCCATGTTATAGATGCAGAGCTGAGACACAGCAAGAGTAAGTGACTTGCCCAAGGTCACACAGGGGAGTTAGTAGCAGAGGGACCTGAGCTCACCCGTTCCCAGTTCCAGCTAGGGCCATCATTGGTGTCTCCACCTTGCCCCTAAAGGCAAATCACCGTGTGCTGTTCATTCCTGGTCTGTTTCCCAGTGTCTCAAATGCAGTACAGGTCAGAGACCACGAGGAGCTCTCCTCCACCACAGACCTACCCCGCCCTTCAGCAGCCTGCCCTCCCCTGCTCTTCTCCCCTCGCCTGCCCCACCGAGCTTCCAGGGAGGGCTCGCAGGTGGGCCCTGGGTGTGCTCAGACCCAGGCTCTCCGCACTAATGGGCGGCCAGGAACACGTCACTCCCACAGACACCCAGGTCTCAATCCCCCTGCCAGCCCCTAGCTGGGCCCACCAAAGCGAGTGCTCGGGCTAGTGCAGCCTCCCGGCCCTGCTGTGATCTTGGTGGGACAACCGCTTCCAATCTAGCCTGGGTCTGTCAAGGCCCTAAAGCTGTTGCTATAGGAACAGGGGCCCCGTGAGTTTGGTGGGTGTCAGATCAGCTCCCCATGGACAGGCCTCCACATGGCAAAACAAATCCACAGTTGGTGCCCTGGTTGTCGGTCATGGTGCAGAGACCAGGGGCTGAATGGGCCATGGACACAAGGGAGGGGGAGTCACACCGGGGGGGGTGTGAAACTTGCACCGCCATTGCTCCCACACGATAGCTACGTCAGGGCAATCAACACCAAGGGGCACTGGCTGCTCTCTTTAGCTGCGTCTCCACTGTGGTTTTTTGCAGAAGAGGAAATGCAAACGGAGCGCTCATTTGCATAGCTTGTGCTCTCGTTTGCATATCTTCTTCCAATCCTTTTTGCGGAAGAGGTTTTTGCCCTGTGTCGATGGGGCCATTTGTCGGGAAAAACCCCTTTTGCGCAAGAGCCTGTAAACCTCATTTTTTGCTCTAGCGCAAAAGGGTTTTTTTCCGGACAAATGGCCCCGTCTACACGGGGCTTTTTATTGCAAAAACCTCTTCCGCAAAAAGGATTGGAAGAAGATATGCAAATGAGAGTGCAATATATGCAAATGAGCGCTTCATTTGCATTTCCTCTTTGGCAAAAAAAATCAGTGTAGAAGTAGCCTTTCACAGATGCTTCCCTGGTGCAGAGGGAAGAGCTTTGTCTAAGGTACCGAGTGCAAATCCTCCCTTGCTCTGGCCGAGCATGTGCGGGGGGTGGGGGTGGCTCTCCTGGCACTTCTTCCCAGCCAGAAATTCACTCAAAGGAGGATAGCAAAGGAGGCCAGGCACCTCCTTGGGGCTGCTTCTCCCAGACCCGCAGTGCGCGGGAGACCTGCCCTGCCTGTTACCCTTGGGAAAGTCTGACGCAGGCACAATTATCCCACTAGTAAACACCCTCCTCTCCATGCTTGTAATGGGAACCATCTGCTTGAGAGGGGCCCAGTTCACTAGCTGTGCAGGAAGTCGTTTGGCTTTCTGAAGGGCCGCTCACCATCTGGACAGAGATTGCTCCACACCGGTGGGGTGTTTCAGTAGAGGGGGTTGTGAGCCGAGTGGCTGGGAGAAGAGGAGGCAGGGACGGAGGATCTCTGCTTTGTGGAGAGGTACCATTGCTCCTCACGAACGCTCTGCAGAACATCTCAGTCCCCTCTGGGAAAACGGCATCTAGATTGCACCGGGATGGGGCAGCGGTGAGCGGAAGACGGGAGTGTGGGTGTGCCTGGGAGGGTGTTGGGGTTGGTGGTTGTGACGATCGTGTACTGTTTCTTTAACTCGACAGCAGGATACCGGGCGGAGGGGAGAGGGGTGCGGAGCTGCTTAAGGGAGCCTGCTGTTTTCCTTAGTTGAATAGAGCTCCTTGTTCAGTGTCAGCAGAAAGGGACTCGTTTTGATGCTTCAGCATTGTCACATGGCCCTGGGGGCTGCAGGTGGGTCAGGGATGAGTCCCTCCCACCCTGCAGACCCCTCGCTTGGCAGCAGAGACAATCAATCATGATAGAAGGGAATGGAGGGGCGCTGAGGCCGGCACACACTAGGCCGGCACACACTTGCTGAAGTCTGTAGGACTCCGCCCTAAGGAAATCCAGGGTTGGCGAATGGTCATGGAAGGGCGCAGGGTGGGTAGTAACAAAGCAGGCTGTGGTGTCCCCTCCATCCCATGCCCTGCCCTTGGGGAAACCCAGGCCTGGAGGGGCACCCTGTAGTGGTGAGGGAGCAGCTCGATCACTGTGATCTCTTCCCTTCATCGTCTCGGACCCTGCTGGCCCGGGGCACGAGCTGCCTGCTCCACCCGGGTTCTGCGCTGAGTACTCACCAGCTCATTCCACGCAGGGCCCCACAGCCGTCAGCCAGCAAGCGCTGGCCTGGGAGGAGGCTCCAGCTGGCAGAACCAAGTGGGAAACCCGGTTCCTCGCCAGGGCGTTTGCTCTTTGACTTCAGATGCCTCAACGCCAGGATGAGAATCCCAGCAGGAGGCATTCCCCATGTCTCCCCTTGGCAGCCTCGCTCTCCGACAAGCTCGCCGGGTGCTGAGTCAGCCCCGAGTACCCCCACCTGCGGGGACTCCACCCCCAGAGGCAGCAGGGTGACAATGCTCCATCTCCCCAGAGTGTCAAGAGGGGCCATGAGAAAGCAGCCCTAAATCGGTTTGGTTATTAAAGTCACGCCTTTTGTTACTGCTGGTGTGTCGGGCTGCAGAGAGAGGTATCAGGGCACTGGATCACTGATGATTCATTAGCACAAAGTGCTCTGCATTACCGCTGGGAGGGAAAGTGTTTTCCTGTCCTATGAAAACACAGAATCCTAGAACTAGACGGGACCTGAAGGAGTCCAGTCTCCCGCCCTCACACCAGCACCAAGCACTGTCTACAGCATCCCTCGTAGATGCCTCGTAGATGCTCTTGAACATTTTCAAGACTTTGACATTTTCCCCTGTCTCAGACTGGGATGAAAAGTACAAACCTCAAACATATCCGTGAAACAAAATCCTGATTTCCCTCTCCCCCGCCCCCTCGGTTGAGTCAGTCAGAACCTTTTGATCATTTCAAAACATTTTGTTTCAACATCAACCCTTTTTCTATGAGCGGGAGGGGAATGAGTTTAAAAAATTCCTGACCAGCAGTAGTCTACAGACAGAATTATCCTTTGCCTCCCCCCCCCCCCCCCATGAGGCCCCCCTGGTCAATACCACAAACTTCACTTTGCACATGGGGAAACTGAGGCAGAGGGCAGCCTGATGTCATGACCAAGGTGTCAAAGCGAGTGTGTAGCAGAGCCAGGAATAGAAATGACAACAGGATTCAACAGAAATCACTGACACACCAGCCGTGAGCACTGGGATGCAGGGGGCTTGAGTCTCTTTTACACTTTAAGGGGGTGTAAATGGCACTATCAGAGCGGGGTAGCATGGCCCCTAATGTACATGAGAATGAAGGCCAGTGTCTTCCGGGGGAAGGAGGGCAGGGAAGGAAGCAGACCTTTGTGGGGACCCTGCTGCGTTTTGTAAATCCTGGTTTCCTGTCCAGCCAGATCTCATCAGGCAGCCTCCTGCATTCAGAGACCAGCCCGGAGCACCTCGCTGGCTGACACCCTGACGTCAGGGGGCAGTGCTGGGGATGAATCTGGCTCGGTCACTGCAGCCCCTTCCCCCCTCCGTGGCCCAGCTGAGGTCAGCTGGTTCCTGCGTGAGCACTGAGAGGTTTCGTGTCGGCCAGGGCTGGAAACGGCGAACCAGAGCCAATGGGAGCCGCGAGGCTCTGTGGCTCTGGAGCCTTCGGATAAACAAACTGGAGCAGCCCATGAGCTGCCTTCTCATGGTCGGGCCGTGGCTCTAGAGACACTGGGAAACACCGAGACAGCTGGGGCTGAGACAACCCTTCTGGGTGCATCTACACTGGCCACGCAGTGCGCCATCTGTGCAGCGCCCTGCAGGAGGGGTAGTAGTGCAGACAGAGCGTTCTTCCCACAGGATCCTGTGGCCTGGGTGGTTGTAAACTCCTGCGCCTATGCGAGTGTCTCCTGCATGGCTGGGATCCGCCACCCGGCAGGGTCTGAGCTTTCTGAGAGAGCGTTTGACCCAACTGCAGTGTGCGAGCCGTGTAAGAACGCTCTGAAGCATGGAGAGGAAGGATAGCCTAATGGTTAGGGCACCTGCTAGGCAATCTGGCTTCAAATCCATGCTCTGCCACTGTGGCTACGTCTACACTGCCGGGTTTTTCCGGCAGAAGCGATGCGCCTCATGCTTTGTAACGTACGTGCCCTCCCGCGGAGGCAGGGCCGTGCTGTTACCTCCACTGCAGCTGGGGAACTGAGGGACTAGCCAAGATCACACTGGCTCGCAGGCTGTGTCTATGCTGCCTCCCCCCTCCTATTTGCATCTCTTCTGCTGCTCTCTTTTGCGGAAGGGGTTTTGCTGCTAAAGAGCCTGGTGGAGATGGGGCAATTTGTCGGAAAGCCCCTTTTTTGCAAGAGCCCTTATTCTTCAAAAAATGAGGGTTCTAGCAAACGCTAGCAAGCGAGGGGCCTGGTGAGTCCCTAAGGCGGAGCCGTCTGCTCCTTGGGGGAGGCTTGTGTTAGTGTGGAAGGCCCTGGGATGGATTCCCTACGGCCTAAGGGGAGGCGATGGAAACAGCAGAGAGCCCCTCTTGGGAGCCTCTCCTGTGGCTCTAGCCTCCTATCTCTAGTATCTTATCTCCGGCGCCCACCCTTCCCCTTGCGGCTGTCACGGCTGCCTCCTGGCCTCTGGCAGGAAGGATGTGCAGCAACTTCTCCTATTTGAGCCATGCAGAGCTGGGCACCGAGGGACCTGCCCTGTGCCTGGGTGACTGAGAGCTCTGCTAGGTGAGGAGGGTCTGAGCCGGGTGTGTGTCAGAGGGGAGGGGCTCTGACATGGGGCCGTGCAGGGCAGGGGGTGCTGGGGAGCGTTGGTGGGGGGTGTGGAAGGAGGGGAAGAGGGGGATAGAGATGGGGAGGGAGGGGGATAGAGAGGTGCAAGGGGAAGGCTGAATGGGGTTTGTGTGTGCACACGCGTGGGTGGGGGGGGAGCTGAATGAGGCTGTTCAGAGAGGCCAAGTACCATCGGAGCAGGGCTGAAGAGGTGTGTACGGAGGGGGGTGCCAGGGAGATGGGGTCAGGTTGAGGGGTATGTGGAGGGGGGTGTGTAGGTGGGAGGGGGATGATGGGTTGAAAGAGAGGGGGAGGAGCAGGCTGATGGGTGTGAGCTGGGGGTTGATGGGCGTGTGGGGTTGAGGGGCAGTTGGCAGCGTGGGGGCATGCTGAGAGGGTGTGGAGGGTGGGTGCAGAGGGGTGCCAAGAGGGGGTAGTTGGGGTGAGTGTGAAGGGGTGTGTGGGAGTCAGTTGTTGGCAGTTTGTGGAGGGCGGGGTTGAGAGGGTAGCTGAGTGTGTGTGTCAAGGGCAGGGATAATGGGGGGAGTGGGGAAGAAGAAAGAGGGTAGTTGAGAGGTGTGTGCAGGGGGCGGGGATGAGCGGGGGGCTGAGTGGGGCATTGGGAATGCGTGGCTGTGGGGAAGATGTGGGGGCGTGCAGAAGGGTGGGGATAGGTGAGAGTCTCGCTCTCTGGACATGTTTTGGGGCAGCAGGATGATGTTCCTGTGACCCATAGACCAGGCTGGGCAGCTATGGACCCGCCGTACTGGAGGGCGTTAACAGCTGGGCAGCGGGGCACTGGGCAGTGCCAAGCAAGGGCGGTGTAGGTTGGCCATTAGAAAAACTTCCCAGCTGTCCGGGTGGCTGAGCACTGGGATAAATTGCCTAGGGAGGTTGTGGAGTCTCCATCACTGGAGATATCAAAGAGCAGGTTGGACACACACCTGTCAGGGATGATCCAGACGGTGCTTGGTCCTGGCGTGAGGGCAGGGGACTGGACTCGACCTCTCGAGGGCCCTCCCAGATCTATGATTCTAAGTTCTCTCCCCCTCCCCCAGCACTGGTGCTTGCAGCTCACTCCCCGCATGGGGGGATGCAGCCTCCGCTCTCCCATCTCCGCTTTCTGACGGTCTCCCCAGCCTTGAGCGTCCCCTTGGCGCTGACAACGGCCCATCTCCGCGGGGCGACGCAGCCTGTGGAGCCTGGTCAGAGCTTAGCGCTTTTTCAGCCTTGGTTCTGGAGGCCCAAAGCCCCTTTGATGGCCTTCAGGAGGGAGGGGGCCTGGTTCTCAAGGGCCGGGCCTTAGGACAAGCCCAGGAAAGGGTCTGAGCCCCTCGAGGTGGGTGTGGCTCACGAGCCCCCTTGCTAGTGGGTGTTTGGAGCCAGGTTTGGGTTCCGGCGGGCAGTGGGTGGCCTGCGCTGACCCAGCCGGGTACGCGTCTGGCCAAGTGTAACTCCGGCTGTGCAGCTCGGTGGAGCAGGAAATAACAAGCAAACCACAGAGGAGACGGGAAATGAGTTAGGTAAAATCGGAGCTGTGCTCTCAAGGGCAGCAAACCCTGCACCCTGGGCCTGAGACCGCGCAGAGCTGGGGGGGGGGAGGGGTCTTGGCCACCTGGCCCCTCCTAGAGCTAGAGCCAAGAGTCTTGCAGGGGCTGACCCCAGCTCCTCCTGGGCTAGAAGGGCCCAGGGTGGGGGGTGAGCCCAGTTTTCCTGGTGCTCTCAGCACTAGAGCTCTTACAGCCATACACAGCGTGTCCGCCCGCCTGCTTTCCCCAAGGCTCAGCACCCCCTGGGCCTGTCGGTCTGCAAGTCAGCCCGTTCTCCCCCCAGACAGATCACTCTCTCCCGGGAGGGTGTAGTGTCCCATTCCTCCCTGGGCTCCCTGCCTTGGCAGAAGGTCTGGAGTCTTTACTCTCCCCCCTCTAGCGCTGCAGCCAAGGGCTGGGGAGGGCGGGGGGAAGGGTTTGGAGTGTGCGGGGGACTCCTTACTCAGTCTGGTAGCAGACAAGATGATGGAGCCCCCAACCCACCAGCTACTCTCTTGGTTGTGCAGCTGCCACAGGGGTCGCTCTGCAGGGTAGCTCACCCGGATCAGCTCGCTGCCCTCAGTGGCCACTCTCAGTATTGCATCCCTCCGCTCTGTGCCCCTCCCTTTCCATGGTATGGAAACCAGTCCCATTCCTGGCACTTCCTGTTTTCCTGGCACAACCAAACCCTGCTCTTGCTTTAAATTAGGAGAAGAGCAAGCTACTTCCCAAATTTGGTGGCCCGCTTAGGAGGAGTTCTTGAACAAATAGAGACAGACAGACACACAGACGGACATTTCTAATTTGTAGCACCGAGGAGCCCCAGCCATGGAACAGGGCCCCCTTAGGCCATGTGCTGTGCAACTGGCCCCCCAAGTGCATGTTGGGAGGCTCCTATCAGGAACCACTGTGTTTTCCCAACACCCCAGGAAGTTGGCTGGCTATAGGAAAGGCCAATGCAGCCACAAAGGGCGCCCCCATGCGGTCTGGTTCACAGGCTCTGTTCATACGGTTATTACAGACCCATATGCCCAGCCTGCTACACAGCAGCTCCCTGCTCATAGGCAAGTGCCCGGCCACTGGGCTAAGCCCCGCTCAGGGTGGGATGAAGGTATTTAGGCCCCTAACTCACCCAGGGATTAGGTGCTCAGGCTGGGACTTTCAGAGGAGCCTGGGAGCCTGCATCGCTCAGGTTCCTTCGCCAGTCCCAGCTGGGAGCCCGGGCGTGTGAGCCGGGGGGCTGGACCTGGGGAAGGAAGAAGGTGTTGGCAGGAAAGGGACAGTGGTGAGCACCCCCACCAAGCGGCTCTGTTTCCACTACCATTTCCCCATGCCACGCCTGGAGCTGCGGCTCCACATATGTCCCTGGGGACCCAGCCTGCAGATTGCCCCCGGTCGGTGTCAAGCCCACGAGCTCTGAGCCCCACCCCTGCCCAGCCTTGAACGCACGGCAGCTTGCCTGGGGCTAGGGCGTGGGGCTGCCCTCACGAGCTGGGTGCCTCTTGCTGTTTCCTTCCCAGCGATCGCAAGGGGCCGGACTGAGCCCCCCACAGCCCGGCAGCATCCGGCCTCCACCGCCGCCCTCAGGACTCAACCACCCACAGAGGGAGACGGAGCCATGTTCCAGGCCAAGGGACCCGCCAGCACCACCCCCACTCACGTAAGTTACTCGCTCCCCGAAGTTACTATCTCACAGAGCAAGTGTCAAAACTAACCTCCCCTCCCCCTGCCCACCCAAGGAGCCGCGCATCCGCCTGTTCCCAGGGCAGGGAGCCGGCTTGGAAACAGGCCCTGGGATCAGCTGGTTGAACTGTTAAACCCAACAGGTGTAATGCAAACCCGCTGGGTCTCCCCCGCCGGTGGAAGCTGGGTTAAGGTTGATGGGGCTACTACAGTGGGTCTACTAGATCAGGGCTGGGCAATACTTTTCGTACAGGGCCACTTACTGAATTTTGGTACATGGTCACAAGCCAGCTCCACCCCAGAAGGGGTGGGGCCTGGGGCAAAAGGGGCGGGACTGGGGGAGTCAAGCCTCCCCCCAGAGTTGAATGAATAACTCAGCAAAGGGCTCCAGGCTCCATCCCCTTCCTGAGACTTTTCAATAGGCTCCTGCTGCCTGAGCCACTGCCTGGGAATTTGGTGGCACAGGCAGCAGGATGTAAATAGAAAGCGGCTCGCTGCAGCCTGCAGGCCGGATCTTGCCCAGCCCTGTGCTAGAGCCAGAGGTTCCTAGTTCGGTGCCTGTTGCCCTCCTCCCCCCCGTGGGTGTGTTACGTAGGTGAGAGATTTTGGGGAATGCAGCCTGACCCTAGAGCAGTGGTTCCCAGAGCATGGTCCATGGATCACGCTGGTCTGCAACTGTCCTGCAGGCGGGCCCTGGGCGTGGGGCTCCCAACCTCACAAGGCTGGAGCACTCGTTGGCTTCCTGCTGCGGGGGGGAGCCGGGAGCCTCATGGGCCAGATCCAGCTCACTGCGGAGAAAGCGGCTCCGTGCACTGCAGCGCTAGAGGAACGGCAGTGCAGGAAACCGCTCGCCTGAATCCCAGCCAATGGGGGGAGGAGGGGGACGGTGCCTAGGAGGAGAGGAGCCGGGTAAGTGCCCCCCATCCCTCTCCTGCTGAGACCCTGCACCCGGAGCCCAGTCGGACTCCCCACTCCACCCCCTTCTCCACCCTCCCTCCCAGCTAGACACCAAACCAGCTCCCATCCCCGGCCTGCTCCTCCCCCCTCTGCCCTGGCCAGCCCTCCCATCCCTGGCCTGCTCCTCCCCCCTCTGCCCTGGCCAGCCCTCCCATCCCTGGCCTGCTCCTCCCCCCTCTGCCCTGGCCAGCCCTCCCATCCCTGGCCTGCTCCTCCCCCCTCTGCCCTGGCCAGCCCTCCCATCCCTGGCCTGCTCCTCCCCCCTCTGCCCTGGCCAGCCCTCCCATCCCTGGCCTGCTCCTCCCCCCTCTGCCCTGGCCAGCCCTCCCATCCCTGGCCTGCTCCTCCCCCCTCTGCCCTGGCCAGCCCTCCCATCCCTGGCCTGCTCCTCCCCCCTCTGCCCTGGCCAGCCCTCCCATCCCTGGCCTGCTCCTCCCCCCTCTGCCCTGGCCAGCCCTCCCATCCCTGGCCTGCTCCTCCCCCCTCTGCCCTGGCCAGCCCTCCCATCCCTGGCCTGCTCCTCCCCCCTCTGCCCTGGCCAGCCCTCCCATCCCTGGCCTGCTCCTCCCCCCTCTGCCCTGGCCAGCCCTCCCATCCCTGGCCTGCTCCTCCCCCCTCTGCCCTGGCCAGCCCTCCCATCCCTGGCCTGCTCCTCCCCCCTCTGCCCTGGCCAGCCCTCCCATCCCTGGCCTGCTCCTCCCCCCTCTGCCCTGGCCAGCCCTCCCATCCCTGGCCTGCTCCTCCCCCCTCTGCCCTGGCCAGCCCTCCCATCCCTGGCCTGCTCCTCCCCCCTCTGCCCTGGCCAGCCCTCCCATCCCTGGCCTGCTCCTCCCCCCTCTGCCCTGGCCAGCCCTCCCATCCCTGGCCTGCTCCTCCCCCCTCTGCCCTGGCCAGCCCTCCCATCCCTGGCCTGCTCCTCCCCCCTCTGTCCTGGCCAGACCTCCCATCCCAGGCCCGGTCCTGCACCCCCCCCTTCTGCCCAGACGCCCCACCCCCACCGCTTTCAGCTTCCATTTTGTGACCATGGGTGGCTGGCTGGTGGTCTGCAGAAAGGTTTGTGTTGAGGGGGGGTGGGAAACATTTGAGAACCGCTGCCCTAGAGGCTCGTGTGTCTCACGCTGGAGGTGGTGTGGTGGCCTCACCGTGTCGTCTTCTACAGCTACATCTCAAAGCCATTCAAAATAGTTCAGTCGCCCAATCAGGGAGCAGAGATGATGCCACGTGACTTAGGTGACCAACCAGACCGCAGGGATGGTAATTAGAGCAACAAACTCGTGCGTCTCCTACTGGCCCCGACTGTCTGGCGGATACTCACCACTAGCCACCTTGTGCGGCGAGAGTCGAGATCAGCGATGTCTTACGGAGGGTTTGACCAGAGCTGGGGCCTTCTGGCCAGGTTTTCACAAGAGCGCTGGGGGGGAGCACGGATGAAAATCAGGCCATTAAATGTCACAGTGGCAGCTGCTGGGTGCTTTGGAAAATCTGCCCTTCAGCTGCAGCCGACAAGCAGTCGGAGACTTGACCCCCACGGAAGCAGAAACCTGATTAGTGGGTTCTGTGGCCCCGTCGTGGGACCTGCCGTGCGCTGCTGACGTGCTTTTTAGCGTTTCCATGGCAATCTGTCACCTCCATCCGGAGTATCTGTATCCTTTAGGACGGGGTGGCGAACCTTTCTAGGTTCGGGGGTTCTGGCCTATAGAAAAATCAGTCAGGGGCTGCACACAAGTGAGATGTGCCAAAAAACCCCAAACCCCTAAAAACACTAAAAAAACCCCCCAAACTAATGCTCTCACTGAGATGGTCCCCGCCTGAGAAGGAGAAAGACCCTCCCCACATTCCCCTCACGCTGGGGGCCTGGGTTAGCAGATTTTGTGTGTTCCAGCTTCATGGAGAAGGGGGGGTGGGGGGGGGCTGGAGCACCAGCATGGGCTCCCCAATGTAGGGGGGAACCCTGAGCCTCGGGGGTCAGATCCCCACCCCAGTTTAGGATCAGACTAAGTAGAGATGGAAAAAACCTGAGGACACCCCCTCCAGGACAGGGCTAGGCCTTCCCCCAAGGACGACGGGGAGGGTATTAAACGTGTAATGCCCTGGACCGAGGCTGCTAAGAGGTGAGACCCTGCAGCTTGCTCTGGCCATGGGTGTATTTCAGCCTCAGCATGACGGTTTTTCTGCTAATTTGTCCCGGGGGCACTGAGCATGCCCAGAGACGTCTGAGCAGACTCTGCCGCGTCTGTGCAGGAACCTGGCATGGAGCGGGCTGGGCCCGTTTGCCCATCAGTGCTGGGATGCGCAGGGCAGTTCCCCGGGCGTCCGTCGGCCTGCACGGACGCTTCGCGCTGCCGTTGCCCCCTTGCAAAAGGGCGGCTTCTTTTCCAACCCCTGCAACTGCTTCTGCCCACTCGGTGAGGTTCCACGGGGCTCGATGCTCTTCTATCTTGCTCCAGTCACGGCAGCAGGTGACGCCAGGCTAGTGCTGGTGGGAGCGAGCGCTGCTCGTCACGTACAGCGTGACCGCGGCACAGCCGTCCCGTCGGCGTGGCTAATCCACCTCCCTGCGAGGCGGTGAACAGGAGATGCCCTCTGCTCGGCGCAGCGCTGGCTAGGCGGGGGGTAAGGTTGGTCCCGCTGCGTTGCTCCCCCCAGTGACGTGGTTCTATCTGTTTAGGGGCTGACCCAAAAGGAGAATTGGGTCGCCTGGCCTCAGCCCCATTGTGACAGGCACTAGCAGCTGGGCAATGTCTGTGGTGTAGCCCCTGGAACCGGGCAGTTCCAACCCGTGTTGCACAGTTTCCCCTCAAAGGCGAGAGAGGGAGGAGGGGCGATGCTGGGGAAGGAAAGGGGATGGATGGAGAGGGAGGCTGCTCCAGGTGCCCCGCAGACTCTGGCAGGGGCAGGCTCCCGTGGGGGGACAGAGAAGTGACGAGAGGGGGCGAGGCGGTCGGGGTGTCTTTCAAGCAGCAGCCACGCCTGCAGTTCCAAAGCGAGAGGCCGTTGTCATTGCACAGCTCAGTGAATTCAGGGCTCCTGAGCTGGGCTACGCGGCTGAATCACTTGCCAGAGGCCCATTAACCCCTTTGCTCCCTAGAGAAACCCTCAGGGCCTGGTTCTTCGCCTCCCCCTGGGACACCCAGGTCAGACTGGGCGCTGTTGTCCATGACAAGCCAGGGTGCAGGTAACCGTGTCAGGCCCCTGGGTGGAGCGGGCGAGGCGATGGGGTAACTGCCGCAGGGGCGACTGGCAGCAACCTCTGGCGTAACTGGGGCTGGGGGGGATGATGCCGCTGAACTTGGCAGTCCCAGGGGGCCGGGCCCCAGGTGCCTCCAGGGTCGTGAGGTGTGAGGCTTCCTGCTCGTGCTGGGAGGTACCAACTGTGAGTGGCACCCAGATATGCGCCTGGATCTCGCCCGGCACCCTGGCTCTGAGCCTGGCCGCCGTGGGGCACACGCGATGGAAAAGGCAGCGCCCCCAGCCCAGATCTGGTGTTTGCAAGGGCAGGCCCGACAGGCCAGCACTCCGGTCACACGCGGACGACCCAAGTCGGGCCCTGAGCAGGGCCTTGTAGAAACACTCGTCTTCCCTTACCCGCCCCGTGGGGAGGGAGGCTGGTTCACACCCTGCAGCAACAGGTCCTCAAACTCCATCCCCTTCTGCCAGTCTCCCCTGCCCCCGGCAACGGGCCCGCACTAGAGGACAGCAGCTGGGGCCAGATGGGAGCCCAGCACCCCCTTGCAGCTGGTTTGGCTCCCAGGGGGTTCCTAAGCTGCAGTCCGTTCCCTGCGCCCCTTCCCCCACCCCCAGAGGAAGTGTTCGGCAGGGGCTTGTGAAAGCTTTTCTCCCCTGACTATTGCGCAGGCATTTCCTGGCTGATCGCAAGGCTGTAGCCAAGCAGCAGAAGGCAGTGGTGGGAAGCCTGCCTAGCGTGTTCAGTCCGCGCCTGGCCCTTTTACCGCAGAGGGCGGGTCAGACTCCTTGTCCGCCAGGCAGTCACGCAACAGCTCCGTGCGGTGCCAGTGGGTGCGAATCCAGGGCTCTCTCTTGGCTTCACCATTCCCAAGCCAGGTGGGACCAGCTCATCCGACCCCCCGCCTCACACGGAACAGCCCCGCGCGAATTCCTCGAGCGGGGGGCTGAGAGAACCATCTGATCTCCATTTAAAATGACCCAGGAGGGAGACTCCCCTTGGACCCCTTGCCAGTTGTTCCAGCGGTTAATCTCCGTCTCCGTTAGAAATGTCTGCCTTCTTTCCTGGCTGCGCCTTCTGGCCGTTGGGTTGGGTCCTACCTTTCCCTGTGCGACTGAAGAGCCCAACTGCATGTTCCCCATGTAGCTAGCGACAGGGATCAAATCACCCCTTAACCATCGCTTTGCTAAGCTCCTGAGGTCTGTCACGGTAAAGCAGGTTTTCTAATCCTTTCATTGTTCTCATGGCTCAGCTCTGCCCCCGCTCCCATTTATCCTTTGTGAACCCAGGAATGCAGCCATGGTGCTCGATACAGGGGTACAATGACCTCGCTGCGCCTGTTTGAGATTCCCGGGTATACACACCCCAAGAGCGCAGGCTCGCTTTTAGTCACCGCGTCACACCAGGGCCTCATGCAGCTTTTCCGATTTGCTGTTTCCCAAGACAGATTCCTATAAGCCTGGGCTAGATTCCTTGTGCCCAGATGTGCATGTACCTACAGCTATAGTAACACACGTGGGCCCTGTTTGCCAAGCGATTCAGTGAGCACCCTGCCATTATTCACCACGTCCCCCGCCTGTTGTGTGGTAGCTACTCACTTTATCAGGGACGATTTTGTGTTTTCTTTGAGGTCAGTGATAATAAAAAACACTTTTAAAAAAATTCTTTCTAAAAGCGCATCAAAAGACTGAAAATAAGAACAAAGGGCGCTAAAAAGTCAAAAATCAAGTTTTAAGCTAGCAATGTAGGAGAAAGATTGGATGGCTAAGTATGAGTCAAGGTAGTTGCTAACTGTTAGTTGAAAATCCCATGACAGACAGACACGACCGGTGGCCACTTAATAGAAAGATTGTCTAATCACAATATTAAATAGCGGAGCGCCAAGAGCCAGTTCCCATGGCAACACACCCACCCCGTGACAAGTCCCCAGGGACGGTTACATTGGGTGACCTGTCAGTTGGCCGGGTGTTAATTCACACAGTGCATGCCAGGTTATTATTACAGTGTTCTAGTTTGTAAATCGGCCGGTTGTGCAGGTAGGGTTGCCAGATGGTTTCAACAAAAATACTGGACACACTTGACATTACATCACAATCTACATGACATCTTATTTAGAAAATACTGGACATTTAAATTTTCTCAATTTGTTTCCTGAACAGAAAGCTCAAATACTGGACTGACCGGTTCAAAACGGGACACCTGGCAACCCTATGTGCAGGTCACATGCTTTAGCAAAGGCTTAAGAGTGGTTGGTGCGGATCAGGGGATGCCGTGGGTGTGGCTTGGGCAGACGTGCACCCCAGTGATTCTGCATCTCTACAGTATCCTGTAGGGCGCACTGAGGCAGCGGCGCACCATACGAGAGCAGTCTGGGCTGGGTTGGCCTGGCCAGGGTCGCACTAGTCCCTGAGCCGTGTATAACTGGGTCTGTACAAAACTGGCCACATCCTCTTTGTGTACTGGCTCCTACACCAGTGAAGGGGTCACACCAGCCTTGTGTAGCCACCGGTTGTTGGTTACACGCGGCAGTACTGAAACAGGGAGCACACTGAGCGGAGTGTGGTAGTTACGTAGTGGTGATTGCAGCAGATACAGCGTAAAGACCTGGGGGTAGTTGCAGCAGATACGAGCTGGTGGTTATGTCAATGGGGTCAACTTGCGGGCCGCATGCGGCCTACAAGACATTTTGTTACTGTTGCCCACGTGCGGGGTTGCCAGCTTCTGCTTACTGATGACTTGTCCGTAAAGCCAGGCACGTGAAGTGAGGGGCGTGCCGGTTGCACACACGTTGGCTGCTGATTCTAGGCATGCAGGCACAGTGAGCAAACCTGTCCTGTCCCGGGAGACTGTCTTGATTGGGGCAAGCTTGAGGCCCACAGACCTGAAGGAGGCCGCTCACTCAGCCTGGGGTTCCCCATTGCTGTGTTATAGCCACAAACACTATTGAGCCTCCTGGCCCGCTAGTTAGTGTCGTATTGAATCTGGGGTCGTTATGCGTCAGGTCCCGGCGCTCTGCTTTCACCCCGATTATTCACCTGATTGAGCCTTTTGGGGGCAGTCAACAGGATCAGCACAAGTAACGCTCCAGCGGAAGCCAGGGAAACCGTCTGCTGGTGTCTGTGCTAGGGAGGGGACGCAGTCAGAGAGGAAGGTTGGCTCTGTGGCTGAGACAATGGTGTGGGATTCAGGAGTGCTAGGTGCCACTCCTGGCTGTGCCACAGGCTCCCTGGGTGACCTTGGGCATGTCACTTGACCTCTCTGTGCTCACTTCCTCATCTGTAGAACGCAGATAAGGAAACTTCCTTTTTCTCACTCTTCAGCTGGCTTCTCTAGTCAGACTGGGAACGCTTTGGGGAAGCCGCTGTGTGTCTGTGCAGAGCCTGGTGCAGTGGGCCTGAGCTCAGCTGCTGGAGCGAGGCACGGCTGTAATACAACTAACCAGTAAGTGCCACTTGCCTCCTTATGGCTGCAGTAGTGAGTGCGTGTAACACCAAGCCTCAGTCCTGAGCCATGGGTCCAGGGTGGCCACCATACCAATGTTCCCTCTCATTTTTTCCATCCATGTGCAGAATAAATTTTATGTGCACCGAGGCATGTGTGGACGTGCACCACCAGTAGAAACACCTGCTGCCGGCTGTGAGCACTCTGGGGTGACGCATCTAGCCCCACCACGCTAGCTGCGGTGCCCGAGAATGTGAGGCTGAAGGATTTGTCTGTCCGACTGCCTGTTGCGCCATGTTGCATTTTCCAAAGCGCTCACCTCCCACTTAGGGATGGGTCAGACCCTTTACAAGTGAAGACACTGTGCTGAGCCCGGGAGAATCTGACCCCGATTGTGCGGGGGCGGAGTTTTTGAAAGGTCTGGCCTAAGCATGCCAAGGGCATGGTAGTTCCAGTGGTAGTGCTACTTGGTACAGGAAATGTCCATTAGACTGGTGGACTACATTACCCAGAAGCCCCAGGGAGAAGTTGACTGTTTCTGAATGGACAGTGAAAAATTAAGCCTGGAGGGCTTAGAAAAATGCCTCCCACCCCCTCCACACACCTCATCTGCCACAGACTCCCTGCTGCCCAGTCAGACGCGGTGTCTCTTTGCCGGCTGTCCTGCCCTTCTCGCGCTGTGCGCCGGGCGAATCGCTCATGTTGTTGGTTTCTCTCCTTTCAGGAGGCAATGAGCAATTCTGGAAGCAGCACGGTGCAACGTTCCAAGGTACCTGACCTGCCGGATTCCCCACGCCGGGGCGGCCGCTGTGGGGACAGAACGAGGCGGCGTAACGCAAAGCCACTGCATGACGATGGCAGGGGGTCACCGGCTGAACGTGGAAAGAACAAACCACAAGGCAGCTGGTGCCCGCAGCACCTGGGTGCCGACAGCCGCTGCCGGTGGAAATGGCCAAGGAGGGGCTAGCTGGGGGAAGGGGTGGATGGCGCTGATGTCACAGACCGGTGCCCTAGCATACAGGATAATATAAAATGCTAAGAATGACCTGGTGGGCGGGTTGCCATGGCGACCAGATACCTGTGCTTACTCGATGGCGTCAGGCGCCGACCCTTCAATGGGCTTAAACTTCAGCCAGGGAGGTTTAGGTTGGACATTAGGAAAAACTTTCTACCTGTCAGGGTGGTGAAACACTGGAATCAATTGCCCAGGGAGGTTGTGGAATCTCCATCTCTGGAAATATTGAAGAGCAGGTTGGACAGACACATAAGAACGGCCGTACTGGGTCAGACCAAAGGTCCATCCGGCCCAGTATCCTGTCTGCTGACAGTGGCCAGCACCAGGTGCCCCAGAGGGGGTGGACCGAAGACAATGATCAAGCGATTTGTCTCCTGCCATCCCTCTCCAGCCTCTGACAAACAGAGGCCAGGGACACCATTTTATCCCCTGGCTAATAGCCTTTTATGGACCTAACCTCCATGAAATTATCTAGCTTCTCTTTAAACTCTGTTCTAGTCCTAGCCTTCACAGCCTCCTCTGGCAAGGAGTTCCACAGGTTAACTACACGTTGTGTGTAGAGGAACTTTCTTTGATTAGTTTTAAACCTGCTCCCCATTCATTTCATTTGGTGTCCTCTAGCTCTTCTGTCGGGGATGATGTAGACGGTGCTTGGACCTGCCGTGAGGGCAGGGGACTCAATGACCCCTCAAGGTCCCTTCCAGTTCTAGGATTCTGTGATTCTCTCCATGATTAGGGTCCTGCCAAACGCCCAGCCATGCAAACTGCATCACGGCATGTGAAACCTTCACCTCTCCAATACTGATATCACGGGGGAGACCAGGATTTCCCACATCGGGGCCCTGACCAAAAAGGGAATTGTAGGGGTGGTTGCCAGGTTATTTCAGGGGGGTCATGGTATTGCCACCCTTCTGTCTGTGCTGCTGCTGCTGAGCTGGGCTTCCAGCTAGCAGCTGCTGCTCTCCAGCTGCCCGGCTCTGAAGGCAGGAGCAGCGCAGAGGTAAGGGGAGCAGTACTACAGCCCCCCCCTACAATAACCTTATGACCCTGCCCTCCCTACAAATCCTTTTTGGGTCAGGCCCCTACAGCTACAACTCTGGGACGTTCCCGACTGAAATCACGACCTCTGTGATTTTTGCAATCCCATGACCTTGATCTACGTGGGCTGTGACTGGGGTAGGGCCCCGCTCCTGACCCTTGCTTTCCGTGTCGCGCAGTCGTTCAGCCTGAAGGCCCAGGTGAAGGAGATGTGCGCTGCCTGCCAAAAGCCCGTCTACCCCATGGAGCGGCTGGTGGCCGATAAATTTGTCTTCCACAACGCCTGCTTCTGCTGCAAGCACTGCCATGCCAAGCTCAGGTGAGCAGCGGGTTAGGCTGGGGGAGGGGGTGGGCTGAGGCTGAGCCCCCTGGAGTCCCAGCCCATTGCTGAGCCTCGGGATCAAGTGCTCGAACCCTCCGAGACGCCCTGCCGGGACGCAGGATTGAGAGAGCCCTGGGGCAAGGCCAGGCAACAGCCTGCGGGCCCCGGGTGCCATGGTCAGGCGGCCCGGCGTGGTGGGTCTGGCTGTTGCTCGGGTAGGAAGGGAGGAACCGTGAATGCTGGGTGAACGCAACCAGCGGGTCTCAGAGCGTGGCTGTGCCCCACGTCCCAAGCCAGCCTGCCCGGGGGGGCAGGAACAGCCGGGAGCATTGGGAGCGTGGCTGCTTTGGCTCCTCCAGAGGCCCGGTCACAAGTCTGGAAGGAACTGCCCCCGAATCCTGGGAGGCTGCTGAGAGCCTTGTGACAACGCAGACGGCGCAGGCCTTCCCCCTCAGCCGTCCCGCCTCCTCCGCTCCCCAAGCCCCACTTGGCCTGGCTCTGCCCAGCCCCCTGCCTCTCATTCTCCCCTTCCAACCCTGCTGGCTGCTCCCGGCGCCCCACTGAGCCCTGTGTGCTTCCTTCCAGCCTGGGCAGCTACGCCGCGCTGCACGGCGAGTTCTACTGCAAGCCCCACTTCCAGCAGCTCTTCAAGAGCAAAGGCAACTACGATGAGGGCTTCGGGCGCAAGCAGCACAAGGAGCTCTGGGTGCACAAGGAGGTGGAGAGCGGGACCAAGTCGGCATGAGGGGGGGGTGGGCCCTTCCCACCTCTCCCTCCTCCCCCCCGCTCCCAACCCAGCAGGAGACAGCGACGAGCTGAACCGAGGGCTGGCTGAGCTGATGTAGAGCAAAGACGACCTGCCGGCGCTGCGGGGCAGCAAAGCACAGGGCCCAGTGGGGACGGGTGGAGGGGCCTACCTGACCTGGGCATAAGATGCTCGGGGGGGACAGAGGGTCAGGACTGGCCCAGGCCTACATGGGGGGGGTCTGCTAACATCTATAGGGGCCCCCTTGCAGAAATGGGGGCAGAACCACTGGCTCCCAGGGGGCAAAGCGCCCGCCCACCCTTTAACTCCGGACCCCAGTCACGTGTCCCAGGAGGGCCGGCTACCCGAAGTGGGCAGCTGGGGTCCACGGAGCCACGTTGGCAGCTCCTTCTCCTCCCATCCCGCCAACTGATGCTGGGGTGGGGAGGGGGACTCGCTCTTTGGTCTGCAGCAGCTCAGGGCAGCTGGGATGGTTCAGCCTTCCCGCCCTTGCCCCGTGACCGTTTAACGTTGTCTGTCTGGTTTTTCTATTTGCCTTTTGATTGGTACGTTCCGCGCCAGAGCCCAAGCGGGCGGCTTTGTGCCCCAGGCTGCGCCCATGCGCTGTTTTGGATTATTTTTGTAATACAAGGTTTCTGAGCCTGGCCTGCCTCATTTTGCTTTCCGGGGGGAAGGGGGGAACAACTTGCCTTGGATCGGGGGCCACTGACCCACAGGAAAATCAGGCGGGGGCCGCCCACAAGTGAGAAGAAAAAAAAAATCCCCAAACTATCCCTGACACAGCCCCCAACTGAGGAGGCGAAAAGACCCCCCCACCACACACATACACACAATCCCTTCGCCTACTACAGCCTAGGGGCCCAAGCTTATATATTTGATGTGTTCCTGCCCCATGGGGAGATGGCGGGGGGATTAGTGCGCCAGCAAAGGCTCCTCAGTGCTGGGGGGAGTAGCCCCACGCTTAGGGGCTGGAGCCAGGAAAGCCCGGAGCCACATTTTAGGTTCCCAGCCCTATGAGGTGTCTGAGCTGATCGTGGCTGTGACTGCCCCCTGCTGGCCAGATGCGAGAGCAGCCTGCCTCCAAGAGTCCCTGCTTTGCCTGTCACAGGGGCAGGGCAGCTGTGCACCCCCTTGCCTGGGATTCATACCAGGACCTTTCAGGCAGCCGTTTTATCCGTGAGGCACACAACCAGCTCAGCCTGCAGGGGCCACAAACAGCGAGGGGTGGAGGGGGGGATGATTCTAAGCCAGCCTGGCTCCAGCCCGGCGGCCAGGGTGGCTGAGCAGGGGACAGGCAGCAAGCGACGTGGCAGAGGCTGCAGAGCGTGCACTTGCACAAGTGCGTGTGCACAAGTGTACACGCATGTGGCAGAGGGCGGGGGCAAGCCCAGCAACACAAAGGGGCTGAACATAGCAGCCTGCCCCGCAGACCTGAGACCAAGCCTTGACACGAGCACAGCGATGGGACGAGACAGGCTCCTGCCCCAGCCACAGTCAGCCTGTCCTGCGGTGCAGAGCAAAGCGCATTTCCCTCGGAACGTCTCAGCCCCTGCCGGGAGGCGGAGGGGGGATAGGCCGTCCTCGCCCTGCGCTCCAAAGCCATCTCCTACAGACGCTCACCAGGCCCCCGGCTGCTTTCTGAGGAGCCCGGGTAGATTAAGCCCTGTGCTCGGCCCATGCCCTGAAGGCGCTAGGGCTGTGTGGGCCGAGGGCCCCAGCATACTGGGGCTGGGACACGCTTGGGGAAGTGGAGCTTTAAACAGCACCTTCCCCACGAGGCACCTGTCTGCCCGCCCATCCGTCCTTGCTGGTCTAGCTCCACTGTGAACACATCAGGCCAGGGCCCCCCCCCGCCTAGTCACAGCGACCTGCGACCATAACGCAGCTCCACACAAATGCTGGGGCGTAGGGGGAGGGATAAAAGTGTCACCTCAGATGGGAAGTTTGGGTCTAGAACAAATAGCAGCCACGTGCCCCGGGCACCCCGACCCCGTCTCTAGAGAGGGGCAGAGCGAGATGGGGAAGAGGCCACATTGGCTTGTCACTTCCCGGGGAGCCCGTTTCCTCGGCTCGCCTCAGATGAGGAAAGCAGCCGGGCGAGCAGGTCAGTCTGCTTCACTGCCTCCTGCCTGGCGCGCACACGGCACCAAGGTCGGCTCCCAGCGCAGTGGAGGGAGGGAGGGAGCGGCCAGCCTGAAAACCCCTAGTCCAGGGGTTCCCAAACTTTTTGACATGGGGACCAGTAAATCCATTCACAGGCTTTTGGAGGACCGGTAACATATATTTGCATATTCAATAAGCAAATGATGAATATTAAAATAAGTTGTTTCTGGTCCTCCCAAAGCCCCCAGTGCCAGCGTTAGCAAAGCTTTTGATACGGTCACCCACAATATTCTTGCCAGCAAGTTAAGGGACTATGGATTGGATAAATGGACTGTAGGATGGATAGAAAGCTGCTAGATCAGAGTTTCCCAAACTTTTTACTTTAGTTGGAACCTGTTCTTTTTCAGTGCTGTCTTTTGCAGCCCAAAAATATAAACGCATAGAAAAAAAAGAATGAAAAATGAATAAATTTTCAGTGTTTCATCTGGCCGCATCCTCCACCCAGCCTGGGCCAGGGCTTGGGGGACCGGGTGCCACATGAGCACTTTAGGAGGCGGGAGCAGGAGCAGAGTGGGGGTGGGGTATCTGGCTAGGAGGGAGGGTGCAAGGAAGGGGAGGGTTGCCAGGTGTCTGGTTTTGTACTGGACAGTCCGGTATTTGAAGGTTTTGTCTGGGAAGGAAATTGAGAAGTTACCAGACATATGAAATGCCTGGTATTGTCTAATGAGGTGGATTAGTCCTTAGCTACCTGGCCGGTAGATGTGCTCACGCTGTCTGAGCGTGTCTACCTGCCAGGCAGTTCGCAACTACTCCAGGGAGGGTATGTGGGGGGAGGGGGCAAAATGGAATCGCTGGCCAGACTCACTCGTCTGCCAGGGTCTGCATGTGCCCAGGTAAGTCCCGCTCCCCCCCCTTCCTCTTCCCAATCTCCCCAGTCCTGCCCTGCTGCCCCCGTCCAGCCCTGCTTCCAGCGGCCGGTTCCCCCCACCCCCACCAATCTCCCCCTGTCAGCCCCGCTCCCCCAACGACCCCTTTGACCAGCCCCGCTGCCCCCGTCCAGTCCTGCTTCTGG